CACCCTTAGTGAGTCACAACCCCCTGTACAAATTTATTTTCAAATTATCGTTTTTATTATATTTCATAAATACTCTAATCCTGATAAAATTTCAAATTTTCTAGAATCAGTTACTGATTTACATTACACAATCTTCCATTTACTTTGTTTCACTTTCAGATATTTGTACACTAATTTATATGCAAGTCTGTGAGATAATTTCTGTTCATATTTTATTACTCTTACATTTCCATGTAGCAATTTAACAAGTAATTTGCCTTCAGAAGCAATTTATATTATGTGATTAAAATAAAATCTATTTAACTTTTAAGATACCAAATCATGAAAAGATTCTGGAGTTGTCAAAATTTGTAGTAATGGCCACAATTTTTTGTATGTGCGTGAAAGTTTGTGAATATATTTGTGTGTGTGCATGCATGCGTGTGTGTGTGTGTGTGTGTGTGTCATGATCCAGTGGCTTCAGTGCACTATACCCTTCATGAGAATGTGAGATTTGCAAACCAGGAATACAGCTGCAAAACTTGGAATGAAACAAAGGGGAACACAATACCAGCTCTGAAGACTTTGTTCAAAGTAACGTGAAATGTGCTGAACATTTCTAGGAGAATGAAAGTTGTGCCCATTGACTGAGAAGCTGAAACTAAGACAGGAGGAACTGCAATTATTGTGATTTTTCTAAGGCAAATTTTTATGTGTCTATACAAATCTCAAGGTTGTCCCTGGAGCAAAGCTCAAGCAGCTATTTGGCCAATGGTAATTTATAATTCTATCTTAATCATGACCCTAGGTGAGGGATCTAACTGATTTTCTTTCCAATCATACTTACTCCCATTGCTTCTTAGTGTTTGCAAGTGTATTTGAAGGGACCGTGAACACGAGAGTTACATCAGAGTTTTACCTTTAGCGCACTGCTCACAGTTGAGTTCATCTGACTGGTCCTCACAGTCAACATGTCCATCACACCGCCAGTCAGCAGGAATACAACGTCTAGTATCACACTGGAAGCCTGTATTGCATACTGCAACAATAAATTAATGGTAAAAATAGTCAGACGTGACAAGCTAGATTTGAGAACCAACATATATAAACATTTAATTCCCTTTTATAGCATATTGTTTTTAGGGATTCAGTATTGCACAATATTATCAGAACTTTACTGAACTGATGCCTAATTCAAATAAAAATAAACCTGGTACAATTTTAATAGGCAAAAGGAGAAAAATTTGAAGCTTTCCTTTCCCAAAAATTGATTAATTTTCATTGCGTCTTCATTCATTCATCAGCCCTTTGTTGGATCCTGGCCTCCGCTTCAGTTTCATAATCTTCGTTTCACACAGACTGTAAGATTCCTTGGATGAGTGATCAGCCCATCACAAGGCCGCTACCTACACTTAGGATGACAAAGACAGAATAAATGCACGCACAGACATCCATGCTTTGAGTGTGATTCAAATCCACGATTTCAGTGTGCAAGCGAGAAAAGACAGTTCATGCTTTAGACTGCATGGCCACTGTGATTGGCTTTTATGTTACCTATGTGATAGAATATATCAATAAACATATATATGTTTGATGTCTTTGAACAAACGGTTTTGAGAGGGCAAACATCATGATATACATTTATACGGTGTTTTGTGCTGGGATTTCAAACCATCTGCAGTTCTGTGGAAATTCTCTACTACTGATCCTTCAGTGTTCATTGGTCCTGATCACAGCCAATGAAATTTCCTGCTTTAATTCTTCCGTTTTGTGCTAACTGTTTATGTAAACAGAATCTTTCAGAAAATGATTCTAAGAGGTCACATGCTCACAGATCTGGAGGGCATGCTGCCCATAACCAAGCATATCCAAAATGAGCAGGAAGTCAACCAGACAGAACTAAACCATAAAAATGCTCATACTGTATATCCAGTGTAGAATTTACTGTACACAGTTGTCCACTGTCCTTCTGAAAGTGTATCCTCAAAACTGGCATCTATACATTGAAAATATGTGTGAAACTGTTTTTTTAAGATATGGAGTTACAGTCACCTTTCATAGTATTTATGATAAATTTGATTAAAGAATACCACAGGCTGTAATAGTGCACCATTCTGTATATTTCTTAGTGTATCAGTTCTGTCATGAGGGTTTTAGTGCTACAAACACAAATATTCTGGTTATTTATATAAGATGTATGAATTTGACATTGTCAGCAAATAAAACAATTTGCAGATCTGCTGAATTGTCTTGTAAAGGTGCAGAACTGGGTCAAAAATTTCTCATCTTTATGGCCTTTATTGGAAAAAGATGCTTTTAACATTGCGGCATGACCCAAACCTGACTTCATCATTCCATTTGGATTATAGATGGTTCTGGAACCACCCAGATGACATGGCAAGCTGTAAGTTTCCAGAATGACTATGCCTGGATAAAAGTGATGTGAAGGTAGCGAGCTGAGTAGTTGAGCTGAGTTACATTGTGAACCAGAGCAGATCTCTGCAACCGGAGTAAAACAGTGTGTAGTCAGACAAGAAGCAAGTTCTGTTCTGGCAGTATAAGCCGTAAGTTTGTGAGTGTAAAAGACAGTGCATTAGTGTAAAATGAAATAGTGGTGGATTAGAAAAGCTGAAATGAAGCTGATAAGAGGTTGCTCATAGTCAGAAAATGACATTTCCCAGAAACTATAAATGTCACCACATCTCAACACCACTGAGACCTCACTGCAACTTTCTAAGAATGTAACCCTCTTTTCAANTGATTTTAAGAGGTAAAATGAACTAGCTCCATGTTAAGTGGATCCCTTGTCACAATGGCATGGCGCGTCCTCAGGTTGCAGATGGAGGAGATGGACTCCAGATATGGAGGGTGGCTGAGAATATACTGAATCAAGGGAAACAAGCCAAGTTGCCATGGTTACAGGATCCAAGGAAAATAAATGGGGATAACATGAACAATATAAGGTATGCAGTCTACACAACAATGTCCTGTATTTAAAAAAACAAAGAAGACACTACTGTATCAACATTTGCTTTCATTATGTTTGTACAGATGCAACATGTTTTGACCCTTACACCAGGTCACCATCAGGCGTACAATGCTCCAGTCTGAGCCGATGAATTGCAATTAGTTATGATCTAATTTTTCAAATAAGTATCCTTATTGTGTCTTGAAATTATTTAAATGCATAAATACATATATTAAGTTTGGGTTTGTTAGTCCTGATAGCATTTATGTGCTCTCTTTTGCGAGCTCTGAATGTGTGCCCTGTTTGTCTGATATATTTGTGTGGGCATTCACCACATTGCAGCTGGTATATACCACTCTGGTTGTATATATCTCCTGGTATTCCTTTAAGTTTCAAATGGTGTTTGATTGTATTGGTTGTCTTGAAAGCAATTTTTAGGTTTGTATTTCGAAATAGGTTAGTGATGGTTCTGGTTTCTGGTCCAAAATATGTGAAGGTGGCCCATTTTGTTTTTTCTTTTTGGTCATTTAGTGGTGTTTGTGTAGAATTTACAGAAACTTTATTTTGGTGTTGGAAATTTGTGGGTAATTGTTGGTACCTGTTATTCTTTAGTATCTCATTTATAACTGTCAGTTCTTGATCTTTATTTTCTTGGGTGAGGGGATATGTGTTCATACAGTTTAATAGATAGTTTACTGCTGATCTTTTGTGTTTGCCAAAGTGTATTCTTGCTTTATATGGGGTTCTTCTTATGGTTGTATGTTGACACTGTGGTTAATATGTAGGCCTACTGGTGTGTGATGTATTGTTTAGTGTTTTTTTCTCCATAGTCTGCCCTTATGTGGAAAGTGTTTTGTCTGCACGAAAGTGTTTATACCAAAACTGTGTCCAACAAATAATAAGAAATATATCTTACACTATATATGATGCTACAATATGATATCTTTAATTCTTTAACATAATTTGTGAGGACATTGAGAATGTAATTATTCCTTTGTCACCAGCACAAAAAGAATCGCCGTTACTAAGATATGCTCATCATGGAACAGGAATGACCTGTTTATACTCAGAATGGATATATGAACTGACCTGGTTGTTGGGCCCTGATCTTTGCATCGATCACTTCCTGGTGTCCGACGCACACGTCAGGGTCTGGAGACTCTGGGAAAAGCTGGCAATCCAGGTACTCGGGTAATGACAGGCCAAATACATCCAAGAAGAACCCACAACGGCGTTTGGTCTCTGTTTTGGAATAAACGCAAAATTATTGCTGGAAAGCTGAATAAGAGCTTTCCAAACTGGTACATTTTAATTTGACAATGCTTCGCTTCCAGCTTCTGTTTGCCTTGGCAGCTTCTGCACAAAGTTCCCAAATGTATTCTTTCTTGTTTCTGTGGTATCACATCATCCCTGCCCTTAGCTTACTGCAGACGCCGATCATTTCAAATTGTCTTAACTAGAGAATCAAACGGTGACGACTCATGTGAAGTTTAATTCCGCAGTGGACCAAATTTGCGGAGAAAAAGATATGGGGCTTGTAACTTTCAGACATGACAATCGAGCTACTTCTGGATATGGAGATGTTAAAATAATTTATATAATTATACAATATTTAAAAAATTAATCCTGAATTCATCTGGGGGATCGGTAGCGCAGTTGGTTGAGGCACTATGTCACATACAGGAAGAAGGCAGGTTCAATTCCCGGTGAAGCCATTCAATTCCCGGTGATATATTTCAACATACAGATTGACCTAATCCTTCCAGCCGCAATATGGTAATATGGCCCTAGGGTCAACTCAGCCTCTAACAAAAATTAGTACCAGGAAGCTTCCTGGAGGTAAAGGGAGGCCGGCGCATAAAGCTGACAACCCTAACAAGTGATTTAATTGCATAAGCAGTTTGGCTTATAAAACTGTAAGGGCGAGCACACACCAAGGAAACTGGCAACCGCGACTTCCGAGAGCTGTAATCAGACTGGGTTGAACACGTGGAACCGAACTGATTAGCTCAAATTGAGGAAAGGGCAACTCAATTTCAACGAAACTCGTGGAAGACTGAGAAACTCAACTTCCAGGCAACGGAGCATGCTAGTCTTCTCACAGTTGCGTTGCCGCGTAATTTCCTAGTGTCAGCTGTCCTAACGTGCTTCTGTGATTCATTTTCGTCTTTAGATAGCGTGAAAGGTTGACGAAGCTGCTAGTTTTGTTTTTGTGCAATTAACTGAGCAAGAGCCTGGTATATATGACATGCCACGCAGACTATGCTAGCCAGGACAAAATATATTTGGCTTGGGAAAGAATTTCTCATGAGCTGAAGGAGTCTCGGTCCTGGTTAAGTTCTTCCGAAAAAATACGAGTATAAGCATCTGAGTTTAAATTGTCAGGGAAGAGCGAATGCAATCTGTGTTTTCTTTTCCTAGCATTGTATTTAAGCATCCTGTTGCATTAATATATCATTTATTTCACATATATTTCCGTCTTAAATTCAACTTATTATCTAGTAATCCTTCTTCCTCATTACATGTTTTGGCTGTATACGGCCATCATCAAGTGTCTTCTATTTCGCTAAAATTGTTGCACTCTATGGTATGTCAAAATTGCATACCGAGTGTCAACGTGATATTTCTGAATTAAAATAAGTTGGCCCTTAATTAAATTAATTAACATCCCAATGTTTTCCTTATGGTCGTCGTCCTCTTTTCTCACGCCGTCTCAGCTACCACCATATTATGACAGGATCAGTATTATTATCTGACATTGCAGAAGATAAGTTCACGAAATTAAAAATTACAATCACCCATTACGTCGGATGAACACGCCCACTTGAGATGATGTGAGCAACTAATCAAACATAAGTTTCCTCTGTATGCGCCTGCTAGTCTGTAAACCAGTTGCGTGCTTGAAATCGGTGACATTTCTCGGAAGTTGCGGTTGCGTTCCAGTTGCCAGTCCCTTGTTGCTTTTTGACCATTCCAGTGATTAGCATTCCTTTTTATAATCTTGACTCCAACATACAGAGCACGTAGTGGGGTGTGGAGTCCAACTGGGTCCACTCGGCACGGCGGCCACTGATTGGCCTATTGTAGCCTGCCCCGGGTGGTTATGATGATAGAGAATTTGGTGGAAGATTGGCAGAGGAAACGGAAGTACTCGGAGAAACCCCCGTCCCAGCGCCACTTTGTCCACCACAAATCCCACTTGACCAGACCCGGCATCGAACCCGTGCCGCCGCGTTGGGAAGCCAGCGACTAACTGCTTGAGCTATGACGCTGCCTTACAGAGCACATATCTCACTGGATTCAATTTGAAGGCCTAGGTAGGCGTCTGAGATAGTATCATCTCCAGACACACTATGAGGTACGATTACATATTTTTGTGTTAAAATCCAAGACGTGAAATATTTACAACCAAATATGAACAAACGCCTTACCATAACAAAGGTTCCTGCAGGGCCTAACAAGTTGTCCTGTAGGGCCACATTTTGGCACAAAAACAGAGCACAGAAACAAAGCTGCCAACTCGTAGCACCGAACGTCGACCACAGCGTCATAAACTTCCAGCTCCTGCAATGGATATAAGAACTCAATGTTAGTGAAACCGTCTGGTACTAGTTTTCTCTTCAGAATCACCTACCTCAGTATCAGTCCTAGCAAGTGCTTCACTCTATCGACGAAATATGGAACATAACCCGCGGCATGTAAGAGCCATCTTGGATAGCAGTCAAGTTTCTGTTCATAATGGAATTCCGTCATGTGCGGTCACGTGCACCTTGCAGTAAAAAAATGAATAGTGAAAGAATCTGGAATATATCTTTTTGCGAATATGTAACACAGGAAGAAGGTATATTTAATTTTAAGTTTGCATATCATTATGATTCCTAGATATGTCTAGTTTATTTATTTATAGGGTCCGATCAGAAAGGAATAGAGTGGGTACCGCTTACTGCGATCACTTCGGGACATACTGTAACAATAATCGACGTAAGAAGAATGTTGTTACTGAACATTCACCTTTCTCATCCCCTCCACGTTCTATATTAATTGAATTTAAAACATCATAATTTTCTTCCTCTCCGAGCTACGAATATTTTTTTCTGGTCAGTTACTTCTCGGAAGTCTAGTTATATCCGCGTTGAACATTTCTTCCAGAACTCCCTCGACTAATATTGTATTTCCGTATCCTACTGCACAGATGTATCACTTTACACACTTCTGTTTTTAATGCACCTTTGTTTACAATTACTCCTCAATTTAAAACAATATTACACTTAAAATTAAACTGCTACGTGTTCCAGTCGTACTTAGCCATCCTCAGACAATTGTATACGTGTTGAAATTACTACACTACATTAGTTATTAAGTTAAAATATTCCTATGTTATTCCATTTTCGTTGTTCTGTCATTAAAATATATTTGTTTGAGAATATCACTCATTGTCTGTACTTGCGCAACTTTCTTGCGGCGTCCGTGTTTTCTGTAATGCATAATATATTCATAATTTTTGTTATCATTAAATTTGAGAACAATTGAATTTTGGTACTTGTTTTAATATTACTTACTTGTGTTGTTTGTGTAGCCCTACGAATATTTATATGGTGTTATTATCGTTGTTAGTTTTATCTGCAATATATAAAGATGTATTATTAATATATGCTATCAGCTATGTTTATTGTCTGTATGTTATTTTCTTTATACACTTACTTGCCCCATTAGTATATACGCTCCCGCGCAGTTGACAACGTTCATATTCATTTCTTACGCCCTTTCCTTCGATGATTCTTCTCGAAAACTTTTGGGTATACAGATCTTGGGTTCGAATTTTCACCAATTGAAAAAGTCTGAAATTGTTGACATAGGCCAGCTGCTTCACCGATTTCTAAGCGTAGTATTTCGAAAGAATGTACACTGTGTCGCAGTAGGTAGCTCCTTGATCAGGACCGGTCAGGACGGAAAAAGGGAAGCCTGTGACTGGGCGGATGAATAAGGTGACGATTACGTAGGAACCAGGAAACTCCACCTGGGAAATTGCATATGGCATATGGATGACACGAAGGGGAGGGGGCTCCGATTCCCAACTAAGCCGATGAAATCGGTTCAACCGAGCAGGCTGGCGTCAATGTTCCCAGAACTTCTTGTTTCATCTTTGTTCTGGCCGTACGACCTACATTTAGTGATACTCTCAGATCACATTTATGTCCAATGGAGATGATCCTTATTTTCAGCAAAGCAAAGGGCGCGGGAAGAGTCCTAAAGTTCCGATGTCCTTCACACTGCGATAGATCCTCTTCCATTAACCAATAACGCGCAGTTGTGTCACCAGATGGCAGTACTCACCTGCTGCGCGTCACGTTGGGTGAAGTGTCCCATGTAGTTGGGGAACATTGTGAAGTTGTACGGGATGCGGTGATGTTGACAGAAACTGACGATCACGGGCAGACAGATACCTGCAAACAGGGACAAGAGCTTCAGGTACGTATGCATACGGAAGCTGAATACCGAATGACACCGGTGATTACAAGTTTTGTTCAGGCCTGTATTAACATCTGAAGCCACTTGTTTCTTTCAATAACTTTTCAGTTAATATTGTGACATGTAGACCCACTGCCAAGAAACAGCTGCGTAAACAGGCGAGAGTACAACAGCCATTGCTAGGGAGTAGTTCTGTAGATATGTGTCCTCGGAAATGAGAGAAGACGCAGTAGTGGAAGAGAAGTCTTCTATTCGGTCCGTGTCGGGGCTATGTAAAGAGGACCGTAGTACAACTTTGCTTTGGGTTACCCTGACTTAACCTTAAACATATGTGAGAGTGAATGCCTTCGATCCCGGTTACTCAGAGTCAGTCGACAGTCGATTCATTGAGTGGAGCTGGACTTTACAGAGAGTGAGGTGGTCTGTGAATGAGCAGTTGTTTTTTGTGGTTCGCTGTGGGGAATCTCTACTGTTAACAACCGTAATCTTCCTGTGATCAGTGCGGGCTGTAACAAACTGAGAAGATTTACTGCGCAAGTTGTTAGTGATCCAGAGATAAGTAGAAAGTCTAGTAATTATTCAAGAAGATCAGAAGAGCGGGTCTGATTGTGAGACATTGCATTTGAACGAGGGGGTTCCCAACGAGTGCTATTCAGTAGGAGTTCGACGTTGACCCAGAGGATTGAGTGGGCTAGTGGTGGATATTGTACTTCAGTGAAATTAGTGGAGTGACAATAGAGTGACTGTGAGCTACGAACGGAGTGTCGAGTCCAGAATGGCAGATGTCCCAGTGCAGGGATACCTGTCAGTTCGAAATACTGGGTGACATTGAGCATGTTGCAAGGCACACTCCAGCTTCGGTGGGTGAGAGCGAGAAGTGGTCTTCCATTGTAAACTCGACAGAGGTGAACAGAGAAAGTGTCCGTAAAGCCCTCAGTGGGAAGACACTACTTAGTCTGTGCTCAAGGAGAGTATCCTAGCAGGCCAGTCTGAAACGCCAAAGTCCGCTGCCACAAAGGAGGATGGCTTCAAAGAAGTTCGGAGGCAAAGGAGGCGTAACACCGATGAGGCCGCCACAACTTATAAGAAAGCAGTGCCGACCGCAGCATCTGACCAAGTAGACAAACCCCCGAAGGTGGCCACCCATAATTTCTTCACCCCCCTCAGGGCAGCCGCCATGGACACGGATTCCTCCAGTGCGGTGGCTACACCACAAGAAGAAGCAGTTACGAGTAAAACAGGAATGGCGACCCCAGTAGTGATTACAGCTACCACTAACCTGATGCAGTTGCAGAAGGTAATCAAAAGTGTGGTTAAAGAAAACTTTGAGTTCTGTAACACCAGAAACGGAAAAAGGTTGATCACAAAAGCTTGGCGGATTTTGCGGTAGTCAAATCCCATCTCGAGACTCACAACCCTCCGTACTTTACCTTCTACCTTAAGTACCTAAAACCGATCATGGTCGCAATACGCCAACTTCCTGTGAATACCCCGGCAGACGACATCTCTGAAGGACTGGTGAGTCTAGGCTTTGACATTATCGGTGTTAAACAGATGACATCTACTCGTCGGTCTCCGTCGGAGGAAACACCAAACAAAAACCTCCGCCTATTCCTCAACACCTTGCCAAGAACGGCAAAATCCCAAGAGATCTTCTTCTTGACAGCCTTCTGCCACATTACAATCGGGGTGGAGGCATATAGAGCTCAGAATGGCCTTACGCAGTGCCATAACTGCCAACAGTTTGGCTACGTCTGAGCAAACCGAAAACAACCTCCCCGTTGTTTGTGATGAGGAGGTGGTCACTGGTACAAGGAGTGTCCAGAGAAGGGAAACGCTGCTTCCACACCAATATGCAGTAACTGTAAGTTGGCCGAGGGAGAGAAAGCCCATCCCGCCAATTATCGAGGCTGCAGACACCCGAAGGAGGAGCTGCAGAAGAGGAAATCACAGAGCACAAAAACTACAACGAGAAGAGTGTTCTCCCCAAATTTTACTACTCCAGATATCTCCTTCGCGGCGGCGCTCCGAGGTAGTACTGCACAGCAGCAGCTGTCTCCAGCACAATAAATTCAAGTGGCAGATCTACCGGAAGTAGGAAAACCGAATGTCTCTGCTCCTGAACAGCAACAAGAAACAGGTCAGTCAGTTCGGGCTGCAATATTAATCAGTCAACCTCTCGACAATATATCGTGAGTAGTATTTGTAGTACGGCAAATTATGACAGGTGCAGTATCAGAGGAGGACAAAATAGTGGCCATTACCAAAATTGTATTAAATCTAATGAAACAAAATGGCCACAAGGATTCATAGGCCCCTTAAAGTCATAGCATTTAATGCGAATGGCATTGGGAGACAGCGCTATGAGCTCAGTAGACAGCTGCAAGAGTTACATGTAGACGTGGCTCTGTTCTCAAAGACAAATCTCAAACCCCATGTGAGGTTCTTTATGCCAAATTACCACTTTTATAGAATCGACCGCCACTCAGGCAGAAAAGGAGGAACTGCCGTTGCAGTAAGAAAAGGCATTCCCCACAACACTGTAGATCTACTGCCCATTGTTCCAGTAGAAGCGACAGGGGTCTGCATACTTATTGGTAATAGCGAAGTACTGCTTGCAGCTGTTTATAAATCTCGGCGCTGTGCCTGGAATAATGCTGACATCACTGAGCTCTTAGACCATGTGTTCACAGGCGACAAATTGTGGAACGACATATTTGTCGTCATAGGCAACAATGACGAGTGTAAATTAGAAGAAGTGTTTCTCGGCACCTCTGTATCAAACATACAAATGTAATTGGTCATCCATGCCTTCAAACGGTCATAATACGGGTTTGAGTAATATATATAAATTCAGTTCCTATCTCAGAGAGAACACGTTACGTCTCTGCTACAAAGCCCAACCGGTTAATGCTGTTTAGGGAAACAGTCGCTGTTTATTGTGAGAACCATACGGAACACACAGATACACTCTGTGGGCAGAATGCAGCATATAAGAATTCAGTCCGTACCTCACAGGAAACATGTTACGACTCCGCTACATAGCCCAACCGGTTAATGCTGTTTTTGTGAGAACAGGTGATACACATATAACGGCTGGGCCAGGTTAAAATCCTATGCCGTAACCTTGTACCACGCAGTAAAGCTGAAGCTGCTCTGTTCGCCGTAGAATACGGCAACTTCTCCGACACTATCGTCATGCGAGTAGTCTAAACAAGCTATGGCAGGCGCTTTCCGATATCTGTAAGGACACATTCCATAGATTCGGACTGCAATTAACGTCGTCACCGGTTCGTAACGCGGAGGGAAAAGGCTGTAGCAAAAGCTTTGAGTAGCAGCCATGTTTCACATTAAGTACCTATAACATTCTGCGGGGAAACAAAAAAACTGTGGAACCAAATTACAGTTATTTCTATTATAATGCAAAGACCTTGTATTATAGTTCTGACATTACAACAAAATTTAAACAAGTTGGAAGGTGAGAGTTGCGCTGTAGCAATGACCGTCACATGGTAGCAGCTAAACCAATCATAGCCTATCCTGTTTGTACCGTATGCTGCTTCTCGCAAAGGCACCGAGTTGCCAAGTCACGCCGCAGAGAAATGCGGTGTTGAAAATCTATTTTAGCGGGTGATCTCAAAACTAAGCACTCATTTTGGAATGGTACAGTTTCAAACTCATGGACTTATTTCATTTGAATGAATTCAAAATTTCCGCACCACAATGCCCCACTCATTATTCCCCTGAGGGAAATGGTGATGTGCTGGATATTGTGGTCCACAAAAATATCAGTGGGTCAGATGTTATTGTCTCCGATATTTTGTACTCAGATCACCTATCAATAATATTCCACATACTGGATCACGTCAAAATTTGGAATATTTCGGAACCTATTGAACAATTCACAGATTGGAATAAGTTTCAAAGCCTCACCAATGAATGAATATAATCGAAAATCAAAATTAACTCGGTGGTAGAAGACGATAAAACGGCGCGCGGCTTTACAGCCTCTGTTTCTTCGGCATATAAGTTGATGACAAGTAAAGATATATTTTTAGACATAAACAACGACCTTCATGGCCTACATTGCTTGCCTCATTGCTCTCAGCTCTACTGCAAAATTTCAGTCGCATCAATGGGAGACGATGTCACGAAAAGTTGCGGGACAATCGCAAAGAAACGAGAAAACCACACGTCACGTACGACCATTATCGTGAAATCTGTTGCGCCAGAAGACAAGCAGTCTTAACCCTTCAAAGTCCAGTGGTCACTATTAGTACCACCCGCTTTAACATATTGTCACGTGTATGAGTGACTACAGACGAGGTTTGGTTTGGTGATTGGATTTATTGACCACTTATACATACAACTCGTACTTACAAGTAACTACAGTTCCATTGCTAATCTCCACAGTTTACATATCTCTAGAGCACAAGACGAGCCTTCTCAGCTTGCTTTCACTAGTCGTTTCCCGGTAATGGATCTTAACAATGGAGATTCTTCAGCTTCTGTGCTCATGTCGTTACTGTCCGACCAATATCCCACAATTCTTCAACGTCAGAGTCATTTTACGACTGGCGTTTTACGGCCAATCAGTTTGTCTTGGCGACAAGCCCCTTGAGACTCACTCACAACTGAACACTTAGTTGAGGCACTCTTAAACAAACCAGAAAGTCGCGGTTTCGGGTCCCGATGAAGTGGATTTTTTCAATTGAACTAATCCTTTCAGCCGCACTATGGCCCAGGTCGACTCAGCCTCTAACAAAAATGAGCGCCATGAACTTTCTTGGAGGGTAAAGGGTTGCCGGCCGGCTCATAACGCTGACAACTTTACCGCCATCTGTGAGCCGACAGTCTACAGAAAATGTGTAACCTCGAAGTCTCACAACCCTACGGGCCTTCACGGCCTGTTACAGGGATAGCTTTATTTCTTTGTTTACACTTGCGGTTACAGTCCTTATGTAATATCCTCTCT